ATTTTTTTCATTGTTTACAAAATTAAAGCTCTTCGTGGAGAAAAATTAATTTCTTCCATTCATTTGATAATTGTTTCGTTCTCATGTTAACTGTTTATCGGAAATTCTGATTATCAAAATTATAGTTTTTATAACCACACATTTAGCAAAACAAATACAAAACTGAAAAGTAAATTTAACCGAATAAATGGTTTTTATACCACGCTCTAAAATATGGTAAAATTACTTAATTTTACAGTATTTGTAAAATTTTATCACACCTAATAAAACATATTTTATTGTTTATTTTACCAAAATCATTTCTAAAGCGCTTCGGCAAATATTACCAAGTTTTTTGTAGGTTTTCATAGAGCCAGAAAAGCGTTAAATTTTACCACATCGTGGTAGTTTTCATCATACTTTTATTTCTTAGTGTGTATATTATCTAATTTAAGATAGACTATCTTAAATCTTGTCTTTAGTAATTTAATCTACATTTTAAATCACAAGGTTAGAAATACAGTAAATATTTAGATGTTATTTGAAAATAAGTGGAAACATTTATAATGTAATATTATTTTTAATAATTTAGTCATTCCCAGCGTATTTCTTCTGCATGTTTTAATTTTAGTCCTGATAAAACAAAGAGACCAACACCAACTTTTTTAAATGCTTTTTCATAGCATTTGTGAATCACATTTAAAAAAACAGCTTTTGTGCGGAAAAAAGGCTTAAAAAAAACTGCAGTGAACATTTGTATTGAAATTGCTAATGATCCAAACCATTATTTTCTACAGCTGAAGAAGCTTCTCGTATTTCCTCTGAAACTTGTTCTTTTGGTATAGAACTTTTCATGTTATGGATTTAAATACTTAAATAATTTTTCGAGTTCTAATAAATCAAAAAGCAGTAAAATTTCAAGAAAATATAGGCAAATAATTAAATAAAAAAAATTAGTAAAACCACTGTTTAAACTAATTGAAATTAAAAACATCGACTTAACATTCACAGTAAAAAAATAATTGAAAAATACTTAAGGCGACTGCCTGGGTACGATGACATTTTTTTTAAAAATTAAAATTTTTTTGAAACATATGTGTTATTGGTTCATGTTTGACATAAAATGATATAAACAAGAAGAAATATTTTTTAATATCGCTTAGTTTCTAAAATATTTGAAAAATTAAGCCTAAAACGAGCGAAATTTAGAGCTTACGCCAGACACTATACACTTAATTTAAATGAATAAAATACAATTTCTTTTTCTGTACAGATTATTTTGACCCTTATCTGTGTTCTGAACTAAAGGTTTATGAAAATTTTAAAAATTACCCAAATTAAGTGCTAAAATCTAGAAAAACAGCAATTTTTTCATTTTTTTTCAATAGTTTTTTATGTTTATATACCTGTAACATGACCAAATATTTAAATTGAAACTTAGTTTTAGTTCAAAACACAGTATATATAGTTAATAACATTGTTACCAAATTTCATAAGAAAACTTCCATTAGTTTTGGAGTATGAGTGTCTGGCGTGAATCAAAATATTGAAAAATACAGTTTTTCAGAAAACGCTTTTAAAGATTTACTTAAACAAAAATAGTTACATAGACTTATTCAACAAGCTATAATTTAATAATATTTGTAGTTCAGCCCTTTATGTAGCTCTTGCTTTTTACAGTTTGCATTTTAATTCATTATCTTTTTTTTTATGACCAATTTTCTATTGAGCGACAAACAGTAACTCGAGCGCGCGATTTTCTTTTTTTCAAAATGTTAGTTATGTATGCAATAATTCACAGCAAATTACCACCCAAAACCTTCTAAAACAGTCTTAGGTTGTTAGAATCAATTGGCAAACAATACCTAAGTCCTTTTAGAATGTAGTATAGTTAAATATTTATATTTTTTCATAAAACAGGCAAAAATGACGCGTTAATTTTCGCTGTATTTTGTATACACAACTACATGATTAAAAATATTAACTTAATCATGTAGTTGTGTACTACACTATATACACTATAATACTACACACTATTATTATTTTTAACTTTATTTCAGACAAAAACAGTATTATTTTAAAATAAACATTATAAGATATGCCTTTCTTATGAAAACACAAAATTTTACAGTAAATAATTTTGAAAAAATATTTACTATGTTAGCATATTTGTTAACTATAACTAAACAATGTAGTAAAAGTACTTAAATAACAATAAAAAGTACTTAAATAACAACTGAAACTACCGTCAATTTAATATTAAAGCTTTTTTTTAATAAGAACGCGGAAAGAACCATTCAATTTCACTCCCTTTAAAAAGTTTATACATAATTTATTGCCAGATGCGTGGAATTAATATTATATAAAAAAAATTAACAAATATTAATATTTTTAATAGCGCTACAAGCAAAAAAAATTCTTATTGGCTCAAAACTACATTGTTTACAATTAGTTTTGAGGTTTTCAGTGCACTTCCGGTGTTTCGGAATCTCACTTCCGGTTTCAAAATCAGCTATAACTTTGCTTCTAATTATCGAAATTTTAAAAACAAAGCATTTTTAGAATCCTAAGAGTTCATTCTTTTCAAAAATGCAAAAAACAGAAATTTGAATTACTTGATGAAATCGGTCATTTTAAGGCAGGCAGATACCTTAAGATCTTTCACAAATGCATTTCGTTTTTAGCAACAAAAAAAAGGTGAAATTCAGAAAATCATTAGTATTTTCGCTTTTTAATATTTAATGTATAATGTAACTGAAATTATTATGCTATTTATAAAAAAGATTAAGCAAAGTAAAAAAATATATATAACAAGAAGAAAAAAATTTTCAAAATATTAAGTCTCTCAAGAAAGCTTTTTTAAAAATATTTCGTTCTCTATTGATTTATGCTAATACAGTCTTAGGAATTACCTAGAAAAATGGAGTTTTCCATTTGGTATGCACTTTTTTAGCGCTTTGTTGATTTACTGTTTCATTTATTTTCTTGTTTTTAACATTATTTCAGTTTAAGGAATATAATTTACTAATAAACTTTATAAATTTTCTGTTTTTAAAAACCAGAAGGAACGTGAAATATGTTCGTAAATAAACTCAATTAATTTTAAGTTTTACCATTCATTGCAAATAAATTTTTTGATAACTAAATTTATATTTGTTTGATGTAGCATGAAAGTTGAAAATTATTTTAATAACTTGTAAACATTAGAAGAAAAGATTTTTACTATTATTTAGTTATCGTATATTTAGTTTAAATAAACACAAAATATCTATTTGAAATTATAAAAAAATTATTAATAGGAGTATTTAATGCCTTTTTTTAAATTAATTTGAAATACTAAATAAAATATTTAGAGCTAATAATGAAATATATTGTAACTAGTATTTATAAATTTGCTTAATTTTTGTCGTATAAAAAGATGCATTTTATATAGTATATATTAAGTCAAATTTTTAACAAAAAGTTTTAAGCCAATAATCGGAGACTGTTTTTAGCACATAACAAAACCGCAGGATATATTCTTTTGATTTGTCTTAATTTTTATCAAAAAATATTCAAAATCATAATTTATTTACATGTTTTTGTCCGATATTATACTAAGCGAAATCCATTTTCCTCATTGTTAATTCCAGATGAATTATGGTTCTTAACTAAAAATATCAGTATTTTAAAATCAAAATATAGATTATGTTATTTCTTTAAAATCAGAATATTTATTATTGATGCGATTTTCTTCTTACAAATTAAAAAGCAAATCCCTCGTCTTGATGGGAAAAAAATTTAATTTAAATAGCAACCCACGGAACAGTTAAAACGAACAAAATCTTTTAATCCATAATCTTAAACTAAATCAGCTTCTCTGTTGAAAATCCTCCGACTTTCATTATAGCAGTTTTTCCTGCATCTCAAACCATTTTGAATACGGAAGATGATCTTGACTTAGACCAAGTGTTCAAACTAAAATGTAAAAGAAAGATAATAATAATTCCCACACCAGCACATCTGCAAACTCGAAGAAATCCTACGGACCAATGAAAAAGTGTTATAATTTAAAAAAAAAAAAAGAAAGAGAAAAAAAAAACACATTTGTGTCCAATGTAGAAAATTTTGCCGTTACTTTTTTACTATTTACTTTTTAAATATTATGCCGTTACTTTTGTACTATTTTACTTTTTAATTATGAAATAAAAATTTATCATGAAACAATTTTGATTCTAATTTAGTTTTAATTTTAAAAAAGACACCGAGAATTTCCTTTTACGTAAAATTGAGATCAAAATATTTTTATAATATGTTTTTATCTAATAATTAGAAATTAAAATCAAGGAATTTATCAAAAATGAAATTTTAAATGGGAGTTACAAGATTTAATTAAAATCATACAGAATTCCTTTATTTACGAAATTGTAACCAAAATACTTTTACAATATGTTTTTATCTCATGATTAAAAACTAAAACCAATTTTTTCATAAAAACTGAAATTTTAAATGACAACGTATGGAGTAAATGGACAAACCCCCGAGTTACATAACCTAAACAAATATCTCAGCTGCTCCATAAACAATCCTCTGACTTGCATCACGACGGTTTCTCCTGTGTTTCAAACCATCTTAAATGGGGGTGATGGTCTTGACTTAAACCAAATGTTTAAACTAAAATTTAACAAATTAACCACTCTATCATTTCCGAAACCTCCAAAAAAAAACAACAGAGTATTAAAAAAGTGTTAAAATTTTCATTAAAAACACATTTAAATCTTGTATAGAAATTTTTGGAAAAGGAAACATTTTTTTAAAACTATATCAACATCCCCATAGAAACGCAAAATGAGCTCTCCAAAATCCCTCGGATGATGTTCCTAGAAACAGAGATCCCGAAAATAAATCCTGTTTTTCGATGTGTTTCGAATATTAATAATTACTACGATCAAGTTATGGATTTCGTGAAGGGAAATATATCGAGTGTATAACAATCTAAAATAATTAGTTTTATTTACAAGTAAATAATAAATTCTATTTACCTTTTTTTCCTTCGGATAAGGGGATGCTGCGGAAGTTGTTTCCAGTCAAGCCGTCAGGTTCTATCTTTAAGGGTTGCTTACTTGCCGGATCCTCCCATCTCCTGTTCTCCCGAGTTTCATTAAAATCGAAATCGTGATCGCCAACTATTTCGCCAAAGGGGGAGGCCATTATTTACAGATGCAAGTTCCGTATTCATTCAGTGCTATCGGGGAGTGCGGGTGTAATTATATAACATAGATGACAGTACATGGATTTTTACGATCGATAACATCCCTTTTTAAAAGTCGAGAGTGATTGTTGAATTATTATTCCCAACAATTGAGAGCGATTATACTTCGGATTTGATAGCTAGGAGACATTCATTAAAAATAAATACATCACTAAGGAAATTCATCAACTTTTTAAAAGCACGATTAAGATTACAATTTCTTTCAAGAATAATGCTATAAGAATAAAACGCACACAATTTTTGATACAACTTTTTTAAAGTTTATTTTACGAAGAAAACTGAAATTTAAGAGGTAATTTCACTTCCTGTTTGTTAGAAAATTAATATCATTAAAAAAATATTCTGTTATATCTTTAATTTGTAGTTATATATTGTTCCAAATTAAAGAGGAAACAAATGTTGGATAGAATTAGAAAGGGATCAGATTTTACTCCCTGAAAGATTGACCCCGTTGCCATGCGCTTAAGTACGTTTGCACCAAGAAACGAGCCAATCAGTTAGGAAGGAACAATGGTGTAAATCATTCCCTGAGTTGTTTGTAATATCGACAAATATTTTTTTAGCTAGTACCTTGTCATTAATAGAAAATAAATTTTAAAAAATTATATTTGCGTGATGGTTTATGTTAACAAAAAATCAAAGCTTTTGCTTATCAGATTTAAAACGTAAAACTTTATAGAATTATATTTTTATAAATCAAAGCAATGTTGCAAATCATACTACCAATTATTAGAAATTAGATTTGCGAGATTTTTTACGTTAACCGAAAATCAAAGCTTTTATTTATCAGATTAAAAAAAATTAATCTCAAAAGAAAGAAAAGAACGACAAAAAAAAAAGAAACACCGAATTCACATTTTATTTAGACAATAAGAAATTTAGTTCATAGTAAAATGATACTTATCTACTTGTTGGTGATTGTTTAGGTTTGATCAGGGTGACCCAAAATCCCCGCAAGACGTAATTTTGATACAAAACACAATTTTTAGTTGATTCATTAAATATACAGTACATGATTACGTATGAAATATCATATTGGTTTTGCTGACAGATACACATTCTTACGGCAAAATTTTTCAATGACTATTTAGCATAAATGGCTCTGAATGTTGTTATTATAGCACGCATTTGTCTGCTTTAAGGAGAGAATTTTTCTGAGTTTATTGCTATATTAAACCATAAACTTCAAAAGAGAAAACCACAATAATTCATTTTGAAAAATTTGTTTATTTATTATTTTTTTTCGCTATGTACAGTGCTTAAAATATCAAAAAAGCAAACACCCTGAATAAATTTTTAATCTTATGTTAGGATTTTTATGGACCAAAACTGAATCATAATGGCTCGGGGGCCTAACCTTAACTATGCTAATAAATTCGTGCTGACGAATTTTAAGGTTACGAAATCAGACACAAAAGCCCACTATCTCTGAATAAACAAACCTTTTTTTCGACGGATTGGATTCCAGGCCCTTTAAAATAGGGGAAGTAGCCACAATCTGGAAAATATTGTCCCAATAGTTTAATCAGGAGAGCTACAGAAAGATTGGGTTTCTTAATATTAATTTATTTTTGATAAAAATTATTTTTTGCATATGATTACCTTTAGATAATCACGTTTTATTTCATGTCTTACGAAATTTCTGAATTTAGGTCTGAAGATATGGCAAAATGCGCAAAAAGCATTTAGGGATCAAACTTTCAGCCGCTCTCCTGATCAAACTATTAGGACACTATTTTTTCAGATTGCAGGTATCCGTTTGTAGAAATCCGTTGAAATAAAATATGTTTATTCAGAAAAGTAAGTTTTTGTATCTGATTTCAATATGTAAAATATCGTCTGAACAAATTAATAAGCGTATTTAAGATAAGACCTTAGAATCATTAAGACTATATCCTAGTATGTGAAAATAAATATAAATCAAAAGTTATTCATTACGCTTGCTTATCATTTTTCCACAGAGCACAAAAGAAAATTATAACACGATGAATAACTTTTGCTCTAATGATCAAATTTTCGCGATCAAAGTGCCAATCGTAATTATTCAATGAAGTAGCCTCAAATTTGATAATTAATCTGTGCAAACAATATTCTAAGTTAAGCAATCAGACGCGAAAACGCATTTGTTCTTAATTAACTTACTTTTTCCGACGAATTTGTGTTTTTGATCATCAAAATTTGCAAAGGGGGGAAGGGTAGCGCCAATCCGAAAAATACCAGGGGTTTATTCAGAAGAGGGATCAAAAGTTCACCCCCGTTAATATTATTTTTGCATTTTGCGAATTTCATCATATATTTAAAACCATTTTAGAGAATCGAAATATTTTTGCTTACTGTAATAAAATTCGTTTATCCAACGATAATTTCATGCAAAAATTAATTTTTGTAGTAAATATTTATTATTTTTATTTTTTCATTTAACAATAGTAGAGAAATATTTGAGAAGAAATAGTAGAGAAATTTAAGGTATACAAATTTTTAAATCATTTAAAACTGCTCAATTGTATTTCAATGATGAGCAAATTTTAAAACTGCTCATCATTTAAAACTGCTCAAATTTGTATTTTGGGATTAAAAATTACTTTCTTTTGAAACATGTAATAATTTGTATTCATTACAAATCAAATTGCTTGACTTTTGTTAAATAAAATAATAAATAATTACAAAGAATTATTTTTTTCATGAAATTATCTTCGGATAAACAAATTTTATAAATGTGTGCCAAAGTTGTAAAATTGGCGAAGTTATCGAGAAATGGGGAAAAATGCAAAAAGTAAAATTAACATTAAGGCATACGAACTTTTGTCTGCTCTCCCGGCCAAACTACTGACGCAATATTTTGCTGATTGCTGCTACTTTTGCAGATTGCAGAGCTTTTGAAAGCTAGCAATCCAACTTTTTAAACCCACCAAAAAAAAAAAAAATGACAACAAGAAACATTTTGTAAACAACTATAAAATTTGTTTAATTCCAGGCAAAAAATACATTTTAATAACTGTTGATTATTTTATACTATTTTATTTATTAATAATCGAAAATATTTTGAATTGTTAAGTATACAGATTTTTGTATCATTTTAACGAGAAAAATACAAAATTTTAACAAATTCGATGGAATAGTTCTCGGAAAATTAAATTTTAAGTATACGACAGTTTTTTTTAAAAAAAAATTGTTAACTCAGAAACAATTCGACCAATTTCTTTCAAATTTTATATTTTGCCATTTAAAGTTTCATGTATTAGTGACGATATTTTAAGTTAAGAAATCGGAGATAAGAGTATTTTCTCTGAATAAGCTTTAACTCTTTTCGTCGGATTCGGATTGTTATTAACCCTTAAATGAATATTAACCCTTAATTCATGAATAAGAGTCACAATTTAGAAAATATTGTCTCAATAGATTAGACATGTGAGCAGTCGGACCCCTTAATGACAATTTCTTTTTGGGCCTTTTACCATCTCTAAAAAGTCATATTTTTTTATTTTTACTTCGCGGAACTACCGGCACCCTTCAAACTTTGACTTCTGTTATTTAAAAGTACTTAGAATAAATCGACGTAAAAATTTACACACCTTACAGTTCAAAATTTTTTTGAGCATTTATAAATTAAATAATAAAAAACAATAAATGACTGTAAAATATTTTTCTACGTGGAAATTATCTTTGGAATAACGAGTTTTTCGATTGACTTAAAAAATTTCCGAAATATGGCCTGATACGCGGAAAGTGAAATCCCCCCTCGCCCCCGAAAGAGCCTGATAAAAATGTTTGTATTTATATAGATAACAAAAATATTTTGCTTTAGTTTAAAAATTGTTGCTCTGTGCCTCACTGATGAAACTATGATTATTTATATACAAGTAATAATGTATAGTCAAGTAATACAGGTAATAATCATAGAAATTAAATTACAATAAATAATTTGCCTTTCAATTTGCAATTTACTTTTCTTTTTTGGTCAGCCATTTATAATGTGAAACTTAAGGAATGATACAATTTTGAAAGCTTTGTTTTAAAGCTTTCATCCTGAACAAGTGAACAAGACTAATTAATTGGTGAAAAGAGAGAATAATAGTGTAAATTTATAAAGAATGATATAATAATAAAATTGGGGAAATTCAAACTATGCGAAAGGCTGTAAATATTTATACAGTGGAAAGTTACCATCTCATGGATCATGCAGCAGGTTCTGATCTTCCCGAAAGAGCCAAGTAAAATCTTTTATTGATATAGATTATAAAAATATTTTGCTTTAGTTTAAAAATTATTGCACAGTGCCGCCTAACTGATTATAAAATGACTTTTCTTTCGTTCACTTCATTTTAATGCAAAAAGTAAATAATATTAAGACAAAATTGCGCATTATAAAAATCAAATAAGTTCAATGAATAATAAATTAATAAAAAAATTGATTGTAGTAATCTTTTTAAAGTGTTTCATTGCTGTAGAAATATAAACTTTATGAATGTTTAATATTTATTTGAACAATTTAATTTTTTTAATTGTCGGTGTTATTTTATAATTCCTTAAATTAACCGAAAAATAATTATTTTATTAACTAGTAATTAATTATTCTAATGTAATGACTCTTATTTAATTTTACGATTAATTTAAATTATGAAAATTATTAATCTTTGTCTTAAAACTTTTAATTTAAAAATTCGGTAAGTAGTAGGATAAACAAATGAAATTTCATAATAAAGTTTCAATAATATTTTGAAACTATTTTGAATTTTATAAAATTCAAATCAATAACAAATTTAATATTTTTATGCTATAAGTAGCTTAATTTCTTTTATTCTTAAATTACCAATATTATTTAATAAATACTTAGGCTGAATTGAAAAATATTATAAAATTTTATTGGTAATTAAAATATTAAAAACTCAAATTCTATTTTTAGGGCATTTTTAATTTCAAAGAATGAATAATACACCCTACACATTCACATTCTTAAAAATTAGTAAAAAAAGGTTTTATTAAAAGTTAATTTTATCACCCATACATGTGAATTGATAATTGTGCTAGATAAACTAAATTTGGTAGGCTTGTCTATACAACTAAAAGATGACGTCTATACAATTCTCCGCTAGGCGCTTTTAGCTCCACAGTGAACATGCAAATCAGGATTGCTTTAAATCGTGTTCTACAATTCATAAGCGCTATTTTTCGCTAAATTTTGGCATAGTGTGTTCAAGGGCGCCGGCAGCGGGGTGCAAGGGGGTGCACTTGCACCCCCCTGGCTGTTTTTTNTGCTGGAATCTCATGAAATATTTGGGGATTTTTCGGCACTAATAGAGGAAGCAGATTTTATAAACAGCTCACTGACTTTCAACGTGGTCGTATAATAGGGCTGCGAGAAGGTGGATTTCCTTTCCACGCGATATTACCGAAAGAGTGGTGAGAAATGTATCCACTCTGCATGATTTTATTTTGTTGAACAGCCGACCCAATTTTGAGTTTATGACTATTAATGTTCAACTCCATAGCTTTGTAATTTTGAACTCAATACAGAAGATAAGGGAACTCCTGGATCAAGTATTGGGAGAAATTTGCCTTCGTGGATGACTTTTTGAGGGAACTAACCCACATTTACGTTGCATGGAGAGGAAAACCACGAAAACCTCCCATGGTTTGCCTTATGGCAAGGAGACTCTGACCAATGATCTGTCTACCACTGAGGATAACTTACGTCAGCACTGTGATTGGTGCAATACAATTGAGGAAATCTAATGATCGCTGGGAGTCAAACCCGGTTCACCTCATTGCAAAAAGAACGCTCTATCCCCTGTTGACAGCAGTGGTCAAAGGAAGATACTGCTTCAAGATGACCGAGTTCACTACTCAGAGGGTACTGCGACTATACTCAGAGGGAAGAACGCCGTGTACAGGCATAGGGCTGTAGCGCACCCTACTGCGTTTAAGTCGGAAAGTTGAGCTGTAGTTGGCATTACAGAGGCAGTATGAACTGCTACAAATCAGCTTCTTTAAGTACAACTTCGAGTTAGACATTCTGTTGCTTGCATTCCACACACTCCAAATGACTGCCATTTAAGATTAATCGAGTTACTGTACTGTATCTGTTTCGCTCACTGGAGAACAGAAAGGAGATCTGTTATGTTTTCTGATGAAAGTCGGTTCTATCTTGGTGCCAGTGAAAGCCGTATAGAAGGAGGCCAGAAAAGCACCTGCTACCAACCTGTCTCCGGCCTAGATACACTAAATCCACGTCTGGAGTTATGGTCTGGAGAGCAATTCTCTATGACAGCAGGAAAATTCCGTAGTTATTCCACGCACCTTGACTGCCAATTTGTAAGTCAACCTGGTGATTCAACCTGTTTTGTGGCAATGCATGAGCAGCATTCAAAGAGTATTTTACATCAGGAAAACTCTCGCCCTCATACTGCTGTTGCAACCCAACATGCTCTATAGAATGTCGACACGTTGCCTTGGCCTGCTAGATACTCACATCGTTCACCAATCGAGTACGCATGGGACATCATTGAACTACAACTTCAGCGTCATCCACAACCAGTATTAACTACACCCGTATTGACTGACCAAGTGCAACAGGAATGCAACTCCATCCCATGAAATGGCATACGGCATCTTTCAAAATTTTGGAGGTTACACCGGTTATAATTATTTCACATTTGAAATGGTTTTTCTAATTGCATTAACCTGTGATCTTGAAACTTTAATCAATTAAATATGTTACTCAGTTAAACGCATTGACAAAATTTCATTACTCAACCATAATTTTTCCTCGTTGTTGAGATTTTTCTTCTAATAGTGTATTTAGTTATATTATTCTTATTCTTATTCAGTTATATGTTTAGATAACTATTTTAAATTTAAGTTTTGAAGAAATATTTAGATTTTTTATTATTTATAGGACTTATATTCCATTACTTCGCACTTATGTATATTTTTTTTAATTTTGCATAAATAACATCTGTGCTTGTATGCATATGAAAAAATCGCATGAATTGTAAATCGGATTGATGAAAAATATTCATGCGAGAAACTCTAATCAGGTTTTCGTTCACATGCTATTTTTCCCCCTGAGAAATTCGTTTTCGGAATAAAGGGTCATTAAAATAGAAAAATTTCTGATTTAAAGCTCATTTTCCCTACTTGCGTTTCACGCACTTCCGATAGTCATCGAGAAGATTAGAGAACCTGATTGTTTAGTCTTTTTTTAGCTGACCGGAGTCAGAGTGAGGGAACTGCAAAAGCTTCTGGGTCTGAGTCCTGGACCAGTCATGGATATGCTTTCATTCTCTGTACTATCTGTTCTTACTGTGGGAGCAATTTTGGACCACCTTAAATGGTGCCACTGAAAGAGTGGCCAACAAATCTGTCCTAATTCTTTTGAATTGATGAATATCAAACCAGGTGGGCTTAGGACGAAATTGTTGAGTTTTTCATCGGAAATTTTTTTTAGCGATCAATTTCTAAGTCTGCTTCGACTACGATTGGATATGTGTGAACCGTATGCAGTGAAAATGCTCCATTAGTGGGAACATCTTTACTTTTTGCGGCTGAGCCAGGGCTGCGGTCAGTACGTGGGTGAGTGACCACTTTGATCAGCCTGCGTAGGGATCGAGAGTGAGCTGTTTTGGTTCTTTTTAAACTGCTCTACCGTAAAGTGCTCGACTTAGCGCGTAGGTGGTCGGCTACCAAAGCAGGGGAGCCATCCCGTCTGCAGGTGGACAAAATTGGATGACATGTTTTCAGATCATCCTCAGTGATGCTTCCCAGACCGTTGCCAATTAGCCCATTGCTCAGCTCTTGTTCGACGTAAATAAAGTACCTACATACCTGCGGCTGAACCAGATTGGTAAGCGTTGTCACCTGGTAAGTTTTGGTATTTTATTATTTACGTCGCACTAGAGTTGCACAATGGGCTATTGTGCGACGGTTTGAGAAACATCCCTTTTGGTGATCCGAAGATAAGATACATATGTAATCCCGTTTTACAGGGAGGAAACGTTCACGTACCTTCCTTCCGCAGATCGTAATATTCTCCTTACCTGGAGCAAGATTAATCTCAGCTAGTGTACCCTCAGAGGTATTGTTTTGTTATGGAACATTGGCAGATATAAAATCCCAGTGTATAAAATGGTGCACCAGTCACCATTTTATACACTGGGAGTCCTTAGCAGGCAGGGATCGAACCCACAACTTCTCTGACAAGGGCCCAATGCCTTACCAGGCAGTCTAACCCGACTCTCAAAGAATTTATTTAACGAATTATAATCTCCCTTAATTGCGATTATGGATGCGTGAATTGAATGCAGTGAGAAAAGCCCTTGATCTTATGATCTTATTTCTACTTGCATAGGCGAGCTATAAGTTGTACAATAAGTCACTACTGATCACTCCAGTGTGATTTCTTCGATCAATAATAAGTATTCGTGCAAGAGCGCGAAAGTGGAATTGTGATACTTTAATTTGCTTAATTATTTTCTATGAAGCAGAAAATCCTGCTATAAATCAGTATCACTAATTTTGTATTTTTGAAAAGTTATATTGTTTTGTCTTTAGATATTGCTGGTTTGGGTTTTGAATTATGAGTTCAGTTTCGAAATGTAAGTATTTTTATGACGTATTGTCTTTGTTTATATAAATGTAGATATTTTTCCTAAAATGATAACTTTCCTTTTTTTAACTATCTAGGTAAAAATTTGTGCATTTAATTTTGCTCATTAAGTAAATTATTCTTAACTTTCCATGCAGAAGTACTAAATACTATGAAGAATGCATCTATTCAAACTACGACTATTCGTCACGTATATGCGTTTATTCTTCCCCATTTTGACAATTTTGTGAACAATTTATTAGTCTAAAGAGGTAGTATGAACTGTAGTCAAGGCCAGACTGGTTTTTATGTTACTCTGGAACGAATTTCACCTTTAGCCCATTTCTATAAACACAAGAAGTCTTTTCGGTATTGTTAAACAAATGTTGAACTCCATCACTACTGTATCAACTTTTAAACATCCTAAAGACCTGTTTTGGACCATCTTTCATCCCCAAGATGTCAAAGGATTGTTTTTATTTAATTAAAAAAGAGGAAAAAAAAAGTTGGTTTGCCCTGGAGGTTAGCTATGAGTTACTCTTCAAGTTTGACACTTTCTGGATGCTTGTTATTTTTAATGTTATCACGTGCCATTGCTGGAATCTCATGAAATATTTGGGGATTTTTTGGCACTAATATGGATGATCTTCCGATCTTTTTTTTATTCATTTCTTAAGGGTTTTTCAAAGTTTTTTCCGATTTGGTAATTTTCTCTTAGATTATTGTGATTTAAATTTTTAAAAGCATTTCCTGGCCTGTCCTCTTGTGAGCTTAGTGACATATAATGTTCTCGTGGAAATTTTTTCTTAGTATAACATAATGAATGAATTTTTTCATCATAAGACAAAAAATTATTACAGGTGTTTTTTTAGTATAACATCTAAAGAAACATGTTAGAATTATTTATGCTTTACTGTAATTGTTTTTTACTGTAAACCTTTGTTAACAAACATTTATAGATTTTGATGTTAAAATCAAATACCAATTCATGTAGTAGTCTTGTTTGTTTTGTTAATGAGATATAAGATTAAAGAGATGTTTTTATAGTATTGGAAAGTATCTTTTTATCAGTTAAAATTATAAAGTTGTTAAAAAAGAAATTATACCCTTTTGATTAAAAGGGTTAATTAAATTTGTCTTTGAAAGGTAACAAGAGTTACTAGAAACAAAAGTCTCTTAAACTGGAAATTTTTTTAAAAAACAATATTCCTATACATATGCTACTTATGTACTTATGACTGGAAAACTGTGTAAGGTTAAGCAAAGGCGGTGTTTGTACTTAAAATTCATAATAAGTCTTATCAGTTACTACCAATTTATTTTTACTTCTAATATTCCATATTGTTAAGTTTTTCGGTTCACAATATGACTTGTGCTTTTTATCAGTCAATTTGTAAATATGTTTAATTTTATCTAAAGACGTAAAGAACTGAAGAGAATACTCAAAACATGTAACCCCTTAAACTTCTTCTATGTTGTGATATTAATTTCCTTAAATCAATTTATTGTTCATAACTTTTTAGATACATAAAATACAGAAGAATCTTTTTAATGATAAAATTGCATGCAAATTTATTTGCAAAAACCAATAATAAAACTGTCTTGAATATCAAGCCTGTTCACACATTTTATAAGCAGAACATAACTTGAGGGATGCACAGGTAGTTTTTAATATTCTTTTTCAGATTTAGAAACTTGATATTGTTTTAACTAATTTTTCCATCCTTATAATGCCCAATGTAAATAGAATTCAAATAAAGATTATTCAAAATTAATGAAACATCAAAACCAAATTCTTTTTAGTATTAATTGAGGACAACATAAATTAAGGGACTGAATCTTACTAGCATTACAGTCATATTTTTTTTTAAAATTTTTTTTTTTTAACAAAGCTCTAAAGACCTATCGAAACTGTTTTTTTTTTCTGCTCAAACATTTTTCTGAGAATGGCCAAAGCAACCTCCAATTCATTGTAGTTGTAAAATTAATAAAGAAAACATTCTGATGAATGCAAATAGATAAACTTATTATCTAATATTTATTTATATTATCACTTTTTATATAAGTGCATGGTAATGTGAAAGTTTTGTATGTTAAGTTTATTTTTAGCTTTAACTCTTTATTTATTTTTCATAGATAGTGAAATGTGTGATTTTGTTTGGCAGTATGAAAAACGTAAAAAATGGCATTCTTTCAGTACTAATGATATGCAACTTTTAAATGAAGCTGTAAAACAAGGTGAATGTTCAATTCCTCTTCCTACAAAGAAACAAAAGATTACTCTGAATTTAAATAAGATGTGTCAAATTAATGATGTTACTCGTTATGAACAAAGGATTCGTTGTTTAATAACTAATTCTGGTTTATATGCTTGGCTATGGAGAAATGATAAAAGTGACTGGGTCAGCTTTGTTCCTCAAATAGCATTTTTGTTAGAAGTAGCTTATCAAAAAAAAGAATTGAAACTAATTCTTTCTAATTATGAATTTGACTTGGAAAATTTTGAAATGATTTGTTGTAATACGAATGATTCTCAACTTATTAAAAGAGAAAGTATTGATATCTCAACAACTTCTATAGAAGATATTATTGAAAAAAGTAAAGAAGAGTTTGCTAAAGCTTGCTGTGCTGAATTTTCAAGGTAAGTATAATTGATCCTATTTGTAGTTTTTTATTAATTTTTATTATATGTTGACTCAAGAAATTTTGTTAATGCAATATTTTATAAGCAACCTAAATAATGGTTACCATAATATTCTGCCTTAGATTTAGTTGCCTAATTTCCCAACTTTACCAGGGTCTAGTATCATTATTACTTTTCATAAAGTTAACTATAAAAAATGTAATTCAAAAATGTGTGGTCTTCTATAAAGAAAACAGCGACATTGCAAAGATTGCCAATAATTAGATCAGCAGATTATAAAATCAGCCGCTTTTTTAAATAAAACCTATAAGAACAAGATCATTACAAAATCATAATATGCTATAACCAATTATTTTAGGCAAATTAGGGGGCCCAAAATGTGGCATTATGTGTAACTATGTATATATATACCCTAATGTAGCAAATAAATAAGAAATTAGGAGGTTGGAATTAATTTTTGATAACTTCTTAGACTAGAGCTGTTGTTTTATTTGTGTGTCAACAAATGGAGCTAGCTCCCCATTGAGAAACAAAGAGAATAAGTTTCACTTCTGTTTCTTAAAAAAAACATTGTGTTTTTGTTGAGAATTTTAATTCATATATCCGTATTGTTACAGTTTTCCAGCACTAGATTTTTTTCAGAAATAAGTTTTTTTTTTTCATGAAAAATGATGGTGGTATATTAATATAGATGGCATTTTACAGATTGCACCAGACTGCAGGTAAAATAATCTCTTTCTTACCAATTTTCTATTGTCTTTAAGTTCAGATTCAATATTTTGTTTGAATCTGTGAAAAACCCTCAATTAGCCGTATTTTAACAAGTGGCGAGCCAGACAGGATTTTACTGATAATCTAGTCTGATATATTATAATTATTTTAGTTTTAATTTCTTGTAATATGAATAAATTAAAAGCAAAGCATGCATTTTGCCTAATGACATTTACGAAAACATTAAATCAGATTAAAGAAATTTTAGATAAAGGTGTTAGTGGTGAAATTATTGAAACTGATATAGGAAAAATTAAAGATGGGCTAGTTAAGCTCGAGGGTATGCCCAAAGATATAAAACAATATGAAAATGATATGATTGATATTTTAATAGATACTAATATTAAGGAAATAGATATTTATAACAATGATCAATTCCCTGAAAAGTATACTGGTGAATTTATTACAATAAAGAGGAGAATAAATGACGGTATTAATAAACCTGTTATTGAGAATATTTCTAGTAATGAATCCAAAATTAATAAATATGTTCTGAAAAAGAAACAGTACAAGCTACCTGAGATCGATATTTAGCTATTTGATGGACAGTCAATTATCTTTTGTTTTGGTCACAGTTCAAGAAAATACATGAGGATAGTGAATTTGAAAATTGTGACAAGTTTCAGTATTTATTGCCGTCAGTGCAGTCCGATCCTTGTGCCAGAGAACTTTTAGAGAGTTATTCTTTGACTTCCGAAAATTATGTCAAAGTGGTGATGATATTTCAGGAATGTTTCGGAAATAAAGAACTGTTAGTTGAAGTATTTGTACAGGAGTTTCTTAAGTTAATTATAGCTAATGCTCGAGCTAACTGTGACTTCCATTACCAGACCTTTACATGAAAGTAGAAGCCTATTGAAATCCTTGTAATCCATGGGCCTTGATTCCGAAACAAATTCATCATGGTTATTTCATATGGTGGATTCTAGTTTGCCTCAAAATGTGTTAAAAGTTTAGCAAAGAAGTTTGCTTTCTCAGAAAAATGTTGTTGAAAACAAAATTTCCGGTTTGAATTTATCAAGATTAATGAAGTTTTTAAAACAGGAAGTGAAAATGGAAGAAGGATTACGCTTTGTGAGATCAGGTTTTGAAGCTTTAAAAGTAAATGAACACTTTTGAGGTGAATATAAAGATAAGAAAAAAGAAAGTAGATTGCCTACAGCTGCTAGTTTCTTAACGAGTAAAGAATTTTTATGCATTGTTTGCGTTAAAGCTCACCCTAGTAAGATTGTTTTGCAGCCTAGGGACTAGAACAACAAGACTTACAAGAACGTTCTAACAAAGTTAGAGAAAATTATTGTTGTTTAAATTTTTTAGACAAGGTCATAGAGCCAAAGTTATTAAATGTCATATTTGATTTAAAGCACTTGCCAAATTATTATGCACGTGTTTCCCTTAAATAAGGATAAAAGAACTGATATGGCGCATAGTAGTATTGCAAAACAAGAGTGTTCTGGTGAAATAATGCTCATGACTCTTGAGGTTGTAACTATGGGTTTAGATTGTAGTTCTCATAAAAGCCATAGTTTGAAAAGTGCTGCGTAAGAGCTGGGTCTAAAAGCTTTTTCTACGGAAAATTTAGCCTCTTTTTTGTTTGGTAGTTTAAAATTAGATGTTAAACCCCATGCAAAGTTTAAGATTCAATTAAGTGCACCCAGGGGTAGTTCGAGGATTGTTATGGAAGTAAATTGTTGAAATCAAGATATAATTTGTAGAAATATCTGCTACCTAAAAGTTGTTTGATGAAAGTGCTTAAAAAATCTAAAATTTGGCTTTCTGATATCTGAACCGGATGTCCTAAAATAGTATTGCTCATAGGAAGTGATGTTTATGGGAAACTCTTAACAGGCCAGGTTGAACAGTTGACAGAGGCTCTCACTGCAATTTAGACTAAATTAGGATGGGTAGTTTGTGGACAATTAGCTTAAATGAACTGAATGTGCCAGAACTATGGAAGTTAGAGACAATAGGTATACGCAAACCCAGTGAAAGAATGTTAAAAGCTAAAGAAGATAATTTTGCTTTGAGCGATTTGTGCTAGAATTAAGTAGAATCAAGATAGCTATTGTGTTTTTCTGTCTTGGATTAATGAACCATAAATTTCTTCAAATCGGAACATAGCTAAAAAAACTCCTTAGCACCTCGAAAAGATTAAAATTAATTAATCAGTATTCGGATTAGGAGAATGTATGCCTTGAATGTGAACAGGAAGGTGTTATTGAGAGGGTTCCAGATGAAAAATTAGATATAGAATGTCACTATCTTCCCCACCATCCAGTAATAAAGACTGGTTGTCTAACAACAAAAGTTAGACCAGTCTTCGATGTGTCATGTAAGGTCGGAGGAGTCCCTTTTCGCAATGACTGTTAAGTTAAAGAACCCATCTTTATAGAGCAGATATTCTTTTGAGATTAAGAGAAAATGTCTTGGCGTTAGTTGCTAAGATGTGCTTTTCTTCAGATTGAGATGAAAAGGAATCACAACTACTTGCCATTTTTATGGTGGGAGAATTCTAATAAAATCAGACTATTTAGACATTAAAGAGTAGTATTGTGGGTGACCAGTAGTCTGTTTTTACTTGGAACAGTAATACATTGCCATCTGGAAAATTGTTTCAAAGTCATGCAATCCACTGCAGAAAAATTATTAACTTCTTTGACATTAGATCTACATAGATAATTGTGTAACATCTGTAAATAATATAGCAGAACTAGAAATTGTTTAATCATCAAATACATTTGCCGCCGTGGCAAAAATGGATTTAAGAATGTGGGAATTGGTACTAGTGAATCAACCTATAAATGAACCCCAGATTGCTGAACTGTTTTCTGCAAAGGATTTTGATTCTTTAGTCTCTGTCTTAGGTCTTCAGTGGGATAGGAGGAGTAACAGTTTGATGATGTGTGCTAATTTTGAATTGATGAAAAATAACCCCACAAAGTGAGAAATCCTATCAGTTACTCAGAGTATATTTGACACCATTGAGTTTATATATCCTGTTATCTTGCCAACTTAGGCTTGGATGGTAAGGACACTATAGGACACACCCCTTCCTGAGGAGATTTGAAATAAATTTCTTCTATAGTTCAAAGAGTTAAACCACTTTCTGTTATAAAAGTGCCTAGTTAGAATATGGTATGGTTCCAAGGAATATTGGTCTATTCAAATATGCTGTGATGCAAGCCAATGTGCATATGCTAGTGCAATATTTCTTTATTATGAAGATGAAGAAAAGATTCATGTACAATTGATTGCTGCTAAATCACATCTTGCACGAGTTAAAAGGTTAACCATACCAAGATAAGAACTCCTTGCTTGTGTCCTAAGTGCTCGATTGTGCAGCTATGTTTCAAAAGCCTTACAGTTATTATATGTGCCCAAGTATTTCTGGTGTGATTCCTCGACTGCTCTCACACGGATCAGATGCAATGATCAGCAGGAAACTTTTGTCGGAAATAAGAGTTGAAGAGAGATGTCAAATTTCCAATGCTAAGCAATGGTTATATGTTCTTGGGCCTCATAATCCAGCAGACTGCCTATCCTGAGGTTTTGCAGTTCTACAAAGTTGATAAGTACCAGATAGTGGGAGGTCCCTGAATGGCTTAAAACATCAAATTACAGTCGTAGTGCAGAACCACTACATTGTGAAGAATTTGTAAATACAGAAAAGAGAAAAGGTGTTACCAAATGCCTTATTATTAAAGATGTAAATCTATGGAGGTTTGAAAGAATTTAAAATCCTGGATCATTCATGTATTCCTGGATTTCCTGGATCATTCATGTATTTGCATGGGCTCTGAGATTTCTAAAAATGCTCAAAAGAAGAGAATATCAAAAAATATACTGAATGTGGGCAGACAACTAGAATGCTGAAAATACCCCTTGACCATTGATTTAGTAAGAATGTTTTCCAGAAGGAAAATATTTTGTAGAAGGTCTGATGATTGCGAAGAAGGAAGAAGGTTTAATCTGTGTAAAAACTAAAATAATCCAGCAATATGAGGAATTTGCTTTCCCTTTCACAATCCTACTTTCTGCTAAACATTATTTGGTAAATTGTCTTATAACAGAATTTCATTTGAACAAATGTCAAGTTTTAGCAACTAGTTAGCGAAGTTTAGCGAAGGAATTATTAGATAATTTCAGCTAGACGTGCAATCAGGAACATCATTACGAAATGTGCAGTATGTGAAGATTTACAAATAAACCAATTATATCCGAACCCA